CTCCCTAGAGCTGTCTATTAAATACCTAATATCAACTCATGCTCGCTTCCCATTCTCCATCATTCTCATCGTGGTTGCCTTTCTCTCTCGCGTGCACCACGCTCCACGTCGCTTTCTCTCCATTCCTCCGCTCTCTCGGCTGTCTCTCCTTTCTCTCTCTTTCTCTCTCTCTCTCTCTCTCTCTCTCTCTCTCTCTCTCTCTCTCTCTCTCTCTCTCCTCTGCCACCTAACCTCGCCCTCTCCTTCGCACTTGCACTCGCGCGGTATATCCCTCTTTCGCGCGTGGCTGCAAACTCGACCCTGCCACCTTTCACACCTACACAGTGCCGAAACGTTAGTCTCCCCTGCTTCACCTCCACATCGCCCCGTTCCGACCACCCTCTCCCACTTTCGCCCTCGGCGAATGCTCTCCCTCGCGCACCCTCGCGCAGTCCCGTACTCGAAACCTAATCCAAAACGTGCTGAACGCTATCCACATTATCATTCTTGTAGCAGACAACGGAAAGTTTGTTTAGACCCGGCGTTCATCCTCTTTCCTTGCCTTTGGCGCCCGGCAGCTCGCAGTGAAGCTCACGTGAGAGCATTGAAGCGCGTCTCATCTAGCAGTAATGTTATACGAGTTTCCAGCATTTACACGGTAATCTCTGGCATGGGGGTTGGCGGTTCCTACGTATAATACGACGTGTGCGGGTCGGATGGTGCGTCGCGTGTCCCATCATCTCTTTGTCGCGTCGCTCGATCCGGCTCGAACCGATCGAAAATCGATCGCGCGTCTTGAGGCGTGCCTTCGCCGCTCCGGGAAGGCGTCGTCATTAGGTCGTCATCCATCGTGAAAAGATGTCGTGCTGCGCGGTAATAAATTGCTCCGACTTCCCCTCCGAGCGTTTTTGCAGTCTCGTGGATTATGCTGTTGCCGCTCCGGGAGGCGTCGTCATTAGTCGTCATCCATCGTGAAAAGATGTCGTGCTGCGCGGTAATAAATTGCTCCGACTTCCCCTCCGAGCGTTTGCATCTCGTATTATGCTGAAATTAAGCCGCTACCACGTGGCAGGACTGAATCCGATTAACTCATTTTAAAAAGTCGCCCAGCTGGTGTATCGATACGGCGAGATTTATGTAAATGCGGATAATAATGGGAGGGATCGAGCGGATAAGTCGATTCGTAATATTCTTATTCTTACATTTAGAGATATATAGCCTCGTGTCTCGCACACAAATTAATCGAACGGTCGCGGCGCGGCGTGGCGCGCAGAACAGAGCGCGCTTCAACCTTTCGCTCGATCGTTGCGTCGTATACATAGTAAGCGATGCGCGACGGGCGAATTAGAAATTCCCGGCTAAGATCTCTTTCATTTTCCCTTGATCACTCTCTGCCGCCTTCCTCGATCGCCGAGTATATCCATTCTCTCGACCGTCTACTACTTTTTCTAGCACGCGAGCACTCTCTATTTTGACTCGATTTACCGTGCAATTTCGCTTGCTACGCCTGCGCTCTGCCAGCCGCAGCGTTTTGACGTGCAAACGCGAGTTCTTGATCCGCCACCTTTCTCGGGCAACTATCCATCACCCTATTCCATCATGCTAATTCCCACGCGGGCGTACAAGCAGGCATTAAATGAGAGAGAATAATAATTCCTAATTCTCTACCACCATACGGAAGCGAGAGCCTAGTCATCAATGCTTGACCAGGGATTTGTGGATGGAGATTGGCAAATGTATTATGCGCCGGCTGCGCGTGTAATAGTCCTGGATTATGGACATTGGAATAAGGAATTGGGAATCAATATCGCGGGTATTTACGGAAGGACTCGCCCGAGCAACTGCTGTCTCGCCTCTTCTACTGTCCCTGGCATTAATTGCGCATTTCTCTCCCTGTCTCCCCCCCCCCGTCCACTTCTACCATCCCCCATCAACCCACACCCATCGCCCCTCTCTCCCCCTTCCCTCCCGCGTCGTCTGTCGCCCCCCGTTTCTTCGCGCATCTCTCGCGCTCGCGAAACGCTGCTCCTTTAATTAAATCGGTTTATTAAGCCTTCGAGTGGATGCGCCGCATCGTGAGTCCTTCGTTTTCCCTCCTTCCCTTTAGCCTGCCCACTCCCCCCCCCCCATTCCTCCTACTCCGATCGGCCCCTTTTGTTTCCCACGGCCGTTTCTTTCCGCTCCTTCTTTTCGTCCGTTTCTGCTGGAAACGTATCGCGGTTATATCGCCGGCGGGCACGTTCGGCTTTACGATCCGTGTTAATACCTCGTGGATAACCGCGTCGGGAAAAAGCCGATTCAACTTTGCTGAAAGTTTTTCGGGGATTCACGCAGAAGCGAGGTTAAGCCGGGCTCGCTCTCATAAAGTAAAGACCAGCGTTTGAATTAAACATTACTCTATGGATACCATCGGCGGGGATACACTAAGCGCTTCAAACTGCAACGATAGTTTCATACATGGCGAACGAACGACGCAGCTGCCTGCAATATTGACGACTGGTCTGTCAAATTCCGTGCGGCAATCGAACCGAAGCTGATTTATCGCTTCTCGCGCGGATATTTTTCTACTTTCGTGTCTACGACGGACACAAAAGTACGAGAGACATGCGATCGCGATCTATCTTCTCTTTTATATTTATTAGGACATTTGCGTTCTAACACGGTCTGGAAGATTTAATTATGAGAATTGCGAACGTAAAAATGCTTTCTCTGTCTATCAGGAAAGAGATGATGTGTTCCTTGTGTCGATCGGAAAGTAATTCAACGTAACTAAATATAATGAGCGAACCGTAAACGCCATTCAGTTGAAGAAGACGGAATTTCTGCTGCTCGCGAGCCAAATTCGGTCTTACGGACTGGAAACTCTGTTTCCTTCGCGCCACAACGCGTTGCGCTCGCTCATATTGTCATTCTAATTCAATCTATCTGCTTTCTTCGTACGATCAACAAACGCGTTTCTCGGTTGAAAAAAAACAGATTTCTTAATTCCTAATTTTAATTCCTAAACCAAATTTAGTCCCAAAAGCCAGAACTCACGTTACCCTCAATGGAAACACGTTTGGTATTAACAAGATACGAAAGAACGAGCGAACAGTAATGACAAACATACGAGAAGTGATTACTACATGCGATTATAACAAGTGTGTCTCTTTTTGTGGCTGTTTCATTGAAACGATATGAGAAAACGCGCGGTCAGTGCGTTATCAGTTATTTATCCACTTTTTGCACCGTGCGTACTCACAAAAGACAAGAAAAAGAGACAATAGTAAACATTATTTGGTTCCCTTTTGGAGAAGCCTGTAGCTCGAATTACGCGTTCCGATAATCGTCAATCGATTCACCATTAGCGCTCCAATCGTCGGCGCTATAAACTGCTGGATAACATTTCAATATTTTGGTCGACGCGCATTCCCCAATACTTTTTTCTTGTCTTCGTGTATCGCGTGATCGTTATTAAACAAGGTTATATCAATTCAATTATCATTCCCGCTAACGTAAAACCAGACGGTACGGGATGAGATAAGAACTGTCAGACCATTTCTTTTTATGAGATACCATCTAGCCCGGTTAATCAAACGCGCCTTCGCGGAAAGAAATAGACATGTTGAAAATCGGACGTAAACAACGAGCACGGGATCGCGCCTGTCGAGGTATAAACATCGCCGAGGTCACATTGACGAGGAACGCGGTAGCTAGTATTTTTGCTATCTCGAAGCCGAAGCATAAGCATGAGAAAAAATATGTCGGTGTATATCGAGGAAGAGACTGCCTTAGCAGTGATTAGTTAAATTTTCTTAAATTGACCCCGCGCATAAATATTATGCACAAAATATCAGATTAATATTTGTATAAAGTGTTGCAAAAAAAAGGCCAGCTTCAGTGCAATCAGTATGGTTTTTCATTAGTCAAATATATATCTTATCGATTATCACTCTCAAGGTTCCGCGTATAATTTTTCGCAGAATAAATATTTCCGTAATGATCAGCGAGGAAGCAAACAATTGCTTCTCGCAATTCACATTTTTATTCAACTAGATATGAACGCATACTATCTCTGGTCGAAAACCAATGCGATTTATATATGAGCATGCATTATAAAACATGACGTTTTCTGAGAGTTTGATCTACACACTCACCGACTTTCGTTGACTCCTGTGCATCCGTCCAATGGCCAGTCTCCTCAGCATTCAGGACAAGTTTCTTTTTTCACAATATTTTGTCGCTTTTTCTTCCTCTTTGTTTATCTTTTCTTTTTCATTAATTTCGATGGGATTTAAGGAAAAGGAAAGACGAAGAAGCATATATAGTCGCGCTCAAGAGATGAGATTTTTATCCCAAAAAGAAATAAAAATGATAAATTGCAACGTTCCGAGAATGTATACATGAGACGCGATTCGTGTAGAATCAATCGCGAATGAAAATTACGACGTTTAGAAAAGAGAGAAAAAACGAAAATGTTTTGTTTCGCGAACGGTAATTCGAAAGAAACACACGTCTTGTTTCGTAAGGACTAAGTTGTAGTGTAAATAAACGCGCGTACCGAATTTATCGGTAATTTCAAATGAAATATTATCGCTTCTGACACGCGTGAAAAATGTAGGAAATTGATAAACTCGATAAACATAAAATTTATCAAGACGAATAAGATAAATAATGGTGAATTTCACGTGCGATGGCGCAATTCTGATTAATTTTTAACATTACACATTACTCGAAGCAGGAGTTATATTGATTGAATCACAGCAAAAAATTCCATATCTTGATTTCGATATAATAACAAACTATAGCATTTATATCAGTATCTTCTAATGACTCAGAGTAAATATAAAAGAGAGAAATATATATTATATGTTATAGATTCTGCTGTGTAACACGGTCATTGAAGGATACGATCTCCTGATTATTTCGAGTAACGTGAAAAAAAGTATAATTAAATCGCATTGATTTTCTTGAGATATTGAAACACCCATTACCATAAAAATGTTTTTTCTTCTCTGACTCACCGATACACAGTAGACAGAGTCAGCCGCGTTCTGCTGCGGATCTGTAACAAAAAATATAGTTTCGTTAGTTAAACCTTTAGGTTAAAAGTTAGGTTAGGTTAAGTTTAGTTCGCGGAAGCGCGCGCGCAGATACAAACGTTGACCCTTTGCCATTGCAATTCAACGGATTTTATTTCAATCGCTCGGTTTTCGATCGCAATGAATCACGAAGAGATGTACAAACAATCGATGAACCTCACCTTCAAGCCGACTCTGCTCGGCCCGAACCGGATCCTCCGGTGCGGCATCGGCGTCCGTCGAAACTGCGTCCAGGTAACCGGTAGCTATTGCGTGGCCGCAAACTCCAGCAGATCTGTAACAAAAGGCGAGTTTTCTCATTAGTATTACAGCGACAAATGCGCCCCGCATCAAGAGTACAAAGACTCGAGACCACAAATTAGCTTCTTCAACTTAACCAAATTCACCAATAAAAGTTTACCTTTCAAGATCATGAAACACTGCTATTGCTCAGAATGCTCCGGATCGTCACGCACCACGCATACATGCACACACACGCACGCGCAAATATTACACGTTACACGAGCGTGTACACTATGATCGTACACTATGAAAATTTGGAAATTATTACGCGCAGCGATCCGCCGATCCGTCCGCCGTCGCAGCGTAAACAATAATGGAGACGGTCGCGGCAGTTGCGTACTTATGAATAATGTTGTTTTCAAAGTCGTGCGACCTTGCCCCGCCGGGACGCGTCTCAGAGAGCCCGTAACGTTCTATAAAACTTACCTTTTCAAACAAAAAGGTAAAAAGAGGCGCCAAGTACACGTGCAACACGCATTGTGTTATTTTTTGAAATTTCAAATTATTTTTTTTTCAAGTTATATATGTAGAATAAAATTTTGCAAGTAAAACATAACTATAATAAAACTCTACAACACTGTTCTACTTTACAAAAGAATTGATATATTAAAATAGTAACGCCAACTGAGAAACCTAACATATACATATATATATATATGATTATAATATAATTAATTCTTTATTATATGCGTGCCTCGCGCTCGTTTGGGCGCAACTTCGTTGCGAACTACCGTGCCTCTTGATAATGCGCGAATTTAATTAATCGATTTTAATTAATCATGCCAGAGAGATACGAATCTAACGTATAGCGATTTTGAATTCAACGTTGCGTTCTAAATCTATTTCATATCATCGGCACGTGACTGCGCCATCGGCAATGCACAATCGATACGTGAACGCGGCAAATAACAATGTCGCCGTGCAAGTTTCTTGCCGCTTGTTTAACCAAAAGTGTCGCCAGCGTTTGACCTCCTGCGACAGGTGCAGCCGCGGATGTATCATAAACGCCAACGTCGCCTCCTTTTAAACGAGCCCGGAGAAATGAGAAAGCTTCTCTTCTTCCGGCTCCTTTCATCTTATATTGCATTACGTGGGCATACATATTTATTCGGCATACATAGACTTTCCATCGTAAAACGACGCGACTGCCGACGTATCCTCGCGTTCAACGGGATACCTGGGACGTTTACGAAATCCGGCATGGCGTGCCCGAACGTTTCGCATATTTGGCGCGTGGGCGGCCGTGCTGTTCCCCTCGCAGAAAATGCGAAAACTCTCCGCAGAATTGATTTATAGCAATTTCGCGCTCATAAATTCATACGCGATGCCGTGCGGTCGCCGATGCGCGCTCGTTGTGCGATTGATATTTGAATGGGTGCGCGTAATCGAAGAGGGCTCGCCAACGTTCCTGCGTTAATTAATTTCGGTCAGTAGTGCGACGCCAATTTCCGTAGCGCGTTTTCGACGCCACAGAGAGTGCGAGCGAGCGTGCGTATGTCTTTTATAAATGAAATTAGAAAACGGAATCGTATACCTCGGAGAAACACATCGATTAACCTGCTGGGTCTCTTGCCTGGCTTCTAATAAATTTCTAAGCACTCGAGCGTCTCTTTCTCGCGAATGCGCTACCTCCCCACCCACGTTCAGAACCCTTGTCACGCGGTTTATAAATATTTATTACGTTGCGACGGTTTTCGCACTCGCGAGGAAGATTCTTCCGCTCGCGATAGGACGAGCGAGCAGGCGCGTCCGTGCCGAAAGAAAGAAAGAAGAGAAAGCGGGGAGAGAAAAGAGGAAGAAGAATTTGGTGGAGGAGCCGAATGCGTAATGGTTGAGCACGATTCGACGGATGCGAGACGAGCACGCGGTGTGCGAGCGATGCGATGCGACACGACGCGACGCGACGCTACGTCACTCCTCGGCGAGGGTGACGACGACTATTTATTTGCCGGGACGCCGAACGCGGATGATTCCTTCGTCAAAGCGCGGGCGGCATCGCGACACAAAGGACAAGGACGCCTGGCTGCGATAAGGAGAACGCGGGAACGCGGTGGGCGCGTGGAGACGGTGGAAGCCGTCACCGGCAAAAAGAAAGGAAGAGTCGGAAAACTGCGGGGAAAAAAGACAGAGACAGGCGGGGGGACGCGACGGAGGGGCGACAGCGATAGCGAGAACGCACGAGCGAAAGGCTACGAGATGAAATTCTCAAGTCATCCATTCTGCGTGTCAGAGGGGATTCCCGTGCGGCAAGAGGTACCGTCGCGGAACCGAAGAAAAAGAAGAAGCCGGCTGGAAGGGCGAGAAAGGAGGAGAGGACGACACACGCTCGCGCCGAAGAAGATGAGGAAGAGAAGGACGACGAACGTCGGCGGAAATGGCGCTGGAGCCAGGCCGTACGGGGTTGCAAGACATCGGATGAAGGGGGTTTTCACGATAGGAAGGGTACGTGGACCGAGAGCAAGGGAACTGTCAGCAGAGCTCAGATTGTATCGTCGTTCCCAAAGGGAAGGTACACCGTCCACTCGAAAACCTGACATATGGTAACCCCGTCGGTTTGTCGTTCGCAACTTCTGTTTGTCGCGCAATGAAGCGATTCCACCGCGGGCTAAACAAACAAGGATAAATGCTTGGGAGTACTACTGCACCAGAAGGACCGTGGTCTCTCTTGTAGTAATTAACTAAATAAGCTTTGAAAAAGGATACATATATGCAAGTTTTTCAAGAGGGGAATTTGAACCTTTTGTAGAAAATATTTGAAGATATTTGTGCTCTACGCCGACCGGTGTCTTTCGCGCGAAGCTAAATTTATAATTATACTATTTCACATTCATACATAAGTTTGCAAGTTTCCACGCACAAACCGAAGTTTACCCCTCAATCCTAACCAGACCTAAGTAGACTTGACCTAACCACACACAAACTAAACTAAACCTAACCTAACGAAACTAACCCTAAATTAGAAAATATACGCTTAAAACAAAACGAATTTGGTCTTATTAAGTCTAATTAACCTAACTTAGGGTTGAGAAATGAACTTTAGTTTGCATTGAAATTTGCAAATTTATATAAAATTGTATAATTATTTTGTTCTCACGTAAAAAGCACCAGTCGATGTAGGGCAAATATTTTTGAGATTTTTTTTATAAGAATCTTAAGCCTTCTCTTAAAACCTCAGATATATATTTTTTACATATATTTATATATATTTCTTTAGTTTGTTTTGTTTAGTACAAAAATCTGCAGTTCTTAATATATTTCGAAACATTTATGCAAACAAGCATACCTTCAAATAATGTCCAGTTAGGAGAGACAGTATCATCTTGTGTCTGGTTAGCTTCAGATGCGTTAATTAAATTAAAAGAAGAGATAAGTTAATAAAAGTTCCCGCGTATCGTCTTTATTATGATAATGCCATTGGCGTTCTCTTCTTGTTCTATTCTTCATCTTCTTTTCTCATACTTTTAAAAACTTCCTCTTAATGAAAGTGTAGCGACGAGCAGACTTGCTTTTACCGATGCGCGTCTAAATACTACTTGCAGAATGATCAATATTACGCGATGTCTGTATTACGTGAAACTGCGAATTGAAACGAGGTGAGATATTCATATCTCAACAATGGCTAAACTGATCGAGGTTTTTTAGTCCCAATCGAGTCGGCCTTAAAAAATAGGAAGAAAAGTGTCCTTGTATTTCTTGTGTACGTGTCTCTAAGTGTAGATATTTTATGATAAAGTCCGAATCACGGAAAATTTCGATTGAGTAAGAAACAAAGTAAGAAACGCTAGATCGCAGAGGAGAGGGGATTTGTGTATCTCACCTTTCCGACATCAGAGGCGTTACGAGCGCGCTAAAGAAGCAGCGAGTGCGAGTGAGCGAGCGATAGAGAATAAGAGAGAGAAGAATATTGATAGAATACAAAAGTAGAAATGTGCGATAAAGAGAAAGAGAGCTAGAGAGACAGCGAGAGCCAGAGAGAAGCCAAGATTTTTTGCATTAAATATTTTTTATTACATTGTTATTATAATTAATTTATTATAATAACAAGTAAAATAACTATAAAACTCAGTGTTCTAGTAAATAATGAAGACACTATTTTTGAAGTAACGGGCTGTGTATCAATGGGAGATTTCGATACATTTATTTTCAGATTGCAACTCGCTCTCATTTACAGAGTTGATGTTGAGTAAAGTTTTTCAGTTGATACTATTGTTTTGTTACATCATTTTTTTGTAAAACAGTTTTGTAGAATTTTATTTATAGTATTCAATAGAAGAATTTATTGTTAGAGGTATAAGTTTTACTTGTACAAACTTATTACTTGTATAACGAAAATAATAAATTACGTTGCCCAAAGATACACGCTCAGGTGCGGTACGATGCACAGTACTAAAAGCGTAAAGATTGCCGTTTATTTTGAATAAAGAATTAATTATATTATAATCATATATATATATATATAAATATATGTTAGATTTCTCAGTTGGCGTTACTATTTTAATATATCATCGCTTTTGCAAAGTAGAACAGTGTTGTAGAGTTTTATTATAGTTATAAGTTTTACTTCCAAATTTTATGTTATATATATATAACTTGAAAAAAAATAATTTGAAACTTCTAAAAATAACACATTACGAGTTGCGCGTATACTTGGCGTCTCTTTTTACCTTTTTATTTAAAAAGGTAAGTTTTATAGAACGTTACGGGCTCTCTGAGACATGTCCCGGCGGGACAAGGTCGCGCGACTTTGAAAACAACATTATGAATATAAGTACGCAATTGCCGCGACCGTCTCCATTATTGTTTACGCCGCGACGGAGGACGGATCGGCGGATCGTCGCGTGTAATAATTTCCAAATTTTCATAGTATACGCGCTCGTGTAACATATAATATTCGTGTGTGTGTGTGTGTGTGTGTGTGTGTGTGTGTGTGGTGCGTGACGATCCGGAGCAATAGCAGTGTTTCATGGTTTCAAAGGTAAACTTTTATTGGTTAACTTGGTTAGGTTGAAGAAGCTAATTTGTAGTCTCGAGTCTTTGTACTCTTGATGCGGGGCGCATTTGTCGCTGTAATACTAATGAGAAAACTCGCCTTTTGTTACAGATCTGCTGGAGTTTGCGGCCACGCAATAGCTGCCGGTTACCTGGACGCAGTTTCGACGGACGCCGATGCCGCACCGGAGGATCCGGTTCGGGCCGAGCAGAGTCGGCTTGAAGGTGAGGTTCATCGATTGTTTGTACATCTCTTCGTGATTCATTGCGATCGAAAACCGAGCGATTGAAATAAAATCCGTTGA